ACATTAGTTCAAGCCTATTTGACTTGGTCTCTTCTTGAGAAAGAGAGACTTAGTCTAGGAAAATAAGGCTATCAAGAATTTGGGATGAAGTCAAGAGATTGATAGTCCTAATTAAAGAGTTGGGCCTAGAGATAGTAAAACCCGACTTGAGCAATTATCAACTGTTTCGTTCAATACCCATTTGGACTTGAGAAAGACAAATTGGGCAAAACTACTCTCTTACCGAGAGGTATTGAGTGGGTAATTGTGCGTTGATTGCTATAATACACCCCGACCAACAAAACACGCCTTAAAACTTACACGTCCATTAGGCAAACACCTAGGTAGAAGTCACAGCCCCAAGCCTTTTATATAATTGAAAACCACATCAAAAATAATATTCTCTAGTTTTATATTTTAATATTGTAAACCTTAGTGTAATTTTAGAAGTAAAATCAAAACAATTATTTGTGGAAATGCAACTAAGATACTCTGCGCTCTACCCAAATATATACCACTAATCCCATCTACGCTCCTTGTGGATTCGATCCCGACTATTAGTTGGGTAATATTATTGCAATCAACTGTTTCACAACCTCGGATAGAGGTGTGACTTGGACGAGATCAGGGTGCGGCTTTGGTTCTGTAACTGGTCTATCACTGCCTGTTGAGCCTGTAACATTTCGAAGATCACCCGCAAATTGATCCCATCACCTTTACCGTCCTGTGTACTCCGGGCCACCTATCGAGTTCCCTCGTGAATGTTGTTTTCGCGGTCGGTAGGCAAGTTTGTAGCGATAGTTGCATGTGAGTTAGCATCGATCGGGTCCACGACTGGAACTCCGTTGGGGTCAATAGGGGGTACCTCGTTGATGGGCACTACATTGTTGTTCTCGCCATGGTGGTCAGACTCAACATCAACGTTCAAATGAGCAAATTGAGAATTTGACATTTTAATTTGACCTAAAATTAAAATCTCAAAGAACAAATGTAAAATAGAGTGGGTTATGAAAATTTATATCAAATTACCACTATTATACCTAGCCCCACGGTGGGCGCTAAACCGTTTACCCTAAAAAGAGGATAACAATTAAATTTTTATAGGTAAATTTTAAGGATATGTGGATTAATTCAATATGAGTGATTAATAGCATTAGATTGAACAAATGAAAAATATAATAGATGACCAAACCAATGATAAGGGTGATTTGGAGCTCGGTTGATGGCTCGATGAAGAACCTGCCCTTGATTCCAAGCTTATACTTATGAAGAACTTAAGAACAAGAATAAGAACTTTGAACAACAAAGAGAATTGAAATAAATTGCCTTGATATGCATGTTACAATGTGTCCCATGAATAATAATCTTTCCCCTTTATATAATAGGGGAGGTTTACCCTAAGTACAATTTTAAGAAAGGTAAAAATCTTTTGTTTCGCTAATCACTTATTTTCTGTCGATACAGGCCGAGATTCACTCCGTGATATCCGATCGGGCACGGACATCATGACCCTTTTTTATAGTCGTGTATAGTTGTATGATAATGTTCTCCGAAGTCCCAATCCTCGAATCGAGCCCGGAGGATATGGCCCCGATATCCCCGAGGGCAGGTAATTTGCCCGAGCCCCGATACGAGGGGCTCCTCACTCTGACTCTGATCCATTACAGCCACGTTCCTGCTCCGTTTGACTCACCGAGAAGTCGAGTCATGCAGTGGGCTCGATTTTATCCGTATACAAAAACCTGTATATATAGTACTGAAGGATAGTATTTAAAACATATCAGTATGTAACTAATAGTTTACGAATGTTAAATGAATACAAAATCCCAAAAAAAAAAAAACACTCAAAAAGGATACTAAAGCAAGCTAGTGAAGGAAAAGAGTTCAAATATAATATAAAAAATATTATAGTGCATATATATAATTCAACTTTAGCTTGGAAGGAATTTATATGATTATTATATATTTTTCAAATAAGAACATAATTTACAAAAGATTAAATTTTAATTAATTTTAGAATTCTAAATATAAGGACTTATTTCAAGCATGGAGAATTTAATAAATAAAATTCCGGGTAAGCTCAAGATACTATGGAGTAAATATTAAGAAAAACAACATAAAGAATTAAAGTTATTTTGCGATGAATATTTTATGCTCAAAGAATTCTTTTTTACATGTCTTTTTGACAAGTAAGCTAACATTTAGCATTAAATTTTTTCTAATTTTACTACTACCAATTATACTTGTGTTACCTACTTCAATTAGGAAAGAATTTATGTGAGGTAAATCTTAAGTGATTTTAAAGTCTTAAATATTAAGAATCTAAAAAAAAAAATTAACAAGGAAGGATTTAATACTCAAATTTTAGTTTATTTTAAATTCTTAAATATTAGGAAAATAACTTAATTTATAATTTTGTCCAATGTAAAATCTAATTTTAAAGGATAAAAAAGGCGAACGACATTTCGTTAAAAGCATTCGTGCTTTTAATATAGTATTAATATTGATATTGATATAGATATCCATAATGAAATACTCAATAGAAATTAAACTTTACACAAATATAGTTACTTGTAAATTATTCATTATGTTAAATTTGCTCAAGCAAAAAAACTTTTAAATTTCAAATTCGAACTACTCTTGCTGAAAAATTAGGTAAAGTTTATTAGTACATGATAAAGTAACATTTCCCCCAATCACACTATACTATTCAAGTTTCTCTAGACGAATTGCACATTCATTTCAATTTCTTCAAATATATTTCCTGCATAACCTCGAAATGATTGATTACGTTCAATATAAAGAATTTACCTCCCCTATTCAACTATTTATCTATAAGAGCATTTTTCTTGTTACAAGGTTGCTAAAAGAAAACATTCACTAAATTCCTAAACACTAAAGCAAGTAAGAAAGTCAATAAACAAGAAAAAAATAAAGTAATTTAAATTAGGGAGAATAATGCATTTAGTTGTCTCAGTTTTGATGTAAAAATTGTATATTCCAAATTACTATTAGCACTAAGCATTATAAACAGCTTTCGATGACATTGAATCTGCAGGGTCACAAAACGTTAAAAGTAGTCCATGTCTCTTTTTTAAGTATGTCAAGTCACTATCTCATTTTTAATCGAACTCTTCCTTTTTCTTAACTGAGTGATTATTATGTTAGAAAAATATTTTTCATGAGTAAAACCCTTCTGAATAAATTTTCGAACTATTATAAAAAAAAAAAATTAAAATCATTTTATCACTCTCTAACAAAAAATTTTTACTCACTATTCAAACTGGAAAAATAAGTGAGAAAACGTACTATTCTGATTAACAATTTTGCGCCACGCTGCCATGTTAGGACGAATTCAGTAGGAAAACATTAATCTCCTAGACTTGTTATTCACATTTATTTTCCTTTTCTTATTTAATTTTTGTCTGTAGCTTCCTCAACAAAAAACAAAAAAAAAAATATAGACGTCGCCTGAGAGATTCGAACTCTCACGGGGAAACCCCATGTACTTAGCAAGCACACGCCTTAACCACTCGGTCAAAGCAACGTTGTTACCTTCATAAGCCAAATAACATTATTTAGTCCCTGAACTAAGTGAAAAATAAATGAACCTACCAAAGTAGTGATCAATAGCATTGATAAATGATACACTACCTCTTTGCACAAAAAGCCTTTGCATTTTTTGGATCAAATCTGACAATTCTCCACTCATGTCTTCAAACTAAGAACATCCCTGCAATGCATTCTTCCCAGCGCTCCTCATCAGATCGATACTGAAATTGCTTAACGTAAAAAATTCCAAATGCTTCTCTAGTCAAATGTGCTGGTCGATTTCTTTTTCTTCTGCTTGATGTATTCTAGGCTTAAGAAAAAAGATTGATTGTAATCATATTACATGAAAGCATAATAACAACTGAAATTCTTTGTACTTTAAGTATTGTAGGGTTGGAGACGTACTGCTTGGTTGCATCATAGGAAATTGATTTTCTTTGCTAAATTGGTAGTTTGTTTAAATATATCCATTTCAATCAAGTCCATGTTTGTCTTCATCTAGCGGTACCTCAATAATTACGTATCATTTTTTAAATTGAAGTAAAAGATTAAGATTGTTTAGAAGTGCGTGGCGTGAAAAATCAACCATTAGTTAGTATTCTGACAAAATTCAAAGAAAACTCAACTTTATCTCATTTCCCATACTACATTTCTATTGACATCAGATCAGTTTTCAATCTCTCCAATCTCTCAAGTTTCTGCTCTATTTGGATTCTAGTTGCACCAATAGCAGCTTCTTCCCTTTTCATGTTTTCTTTTGTTCTTCTTTTCCCTATTTGCAAAAAGTTTATCAGTCGAACTAGTGAAACCTTGGTATAATAGTAAACTGGTTAAGTTGGAGTTGCTAGAAATAACGTGTTTGTTTCTATTCCAATGAGAATTTAGATTTGGCCATGCACTGGATTTGGACTTTTAAAAATCTTTATTTACTTCGGCCTTGAAGTAAAAACTTTAGCTTTTGAGGAAATGGTGAGGCCTGAGGGTATAAAAGCCCATTTTGGAATTAGGAAATAGACATATATAACAGTGTTTCGAAGAGTCAACTTTCTCAGTTTATGCAAAAGATTGTAAAACTACTCCAAACTGAAAAGGAATTTCTCTAATGATGTTTGGTTGATTTCACTACCTTTCGGTCCAAATGCGTTTGTTCTGATAGGTTGAAAACTGAGTGTGGTAACTCATTTTTTTTCAGTTTTTGATTTGCTCCCTACTTTACTACTCCCTCCGTCTCATATTAAATGAGGTACTTTCCTTTTTAGTTTGTCCCAAAACAAATGATAAATTTCTAAATTTGAAAATAATTCAACTTTAAACTCTTTCATTTTACCCCTTTACCTTTAATGAGAAGTTTTTATAGCCACACAAATGTCATGGCCCCACAAACTTTTTACCCCTTAAGCTTTTAAGACCACAAGTTTTAAAAGTCTTCTATTTTTTTCTTAAACTCCGTGCCGAGTCAAACTACCTCATTTAATATGAAACGGAGGGAGTACCTTTTACTAGCAATTTATTTCTTGAAATAATCATAACAAAGCCAATTTAACTGACAAAGGAACGGTAAGTAGTAATGATAAAGGCAGGCCGGTGCACTAAGCTCCTGCTATGCGCGCGGTCCGGGGAAAGGTGAGACCACAAAGGTCTATTGTACGCAGCTTTACCCTGCATTTCTGCCAGAGGTTGTGTCCATGGCTTGAACGTATGACCTCCTGGTCACATGGCAGCAACTTTACTAGTTACGCGAAGGCTCCCTTCAAAATGAAAGTAGAAGCTGCAAAATGAGCTCAAGGAAATTTGAATTTCGCAGTAATGGAAAATGCAAAAGCAATCAGAATCCCTTGTATGATTGCAGTTATAACATACAAGTAACACTGAACAGAGTAAAATAAGAACACAAGAATATAAAAATCATTTCTTCTCTTTGGCTCGACTGAAACGAAGGGATTCCAGTACTGCAAGAATCGAATGGGGTTTGAACACGCAAAGGCATCACTCCATTGGTAGTGATAACTTTTCAGCATTAACAAGTTACGTATGAAAATTAAAGTCAGTAGACTGTGTAGTAAAGTCAGTGGAACACTACTCCTCAATTTCATCATCAGTCTTTCAAATCATAAAATGGAGAGGAAAATAGGCAAAAATCCATAGAACAACTCTTGTCCTCTTTACTTCAATAAATAAATAAAAACCTATGTTGCTCGGATTCTCCGAAAATGTACATGAGTGTGTGTCGGAACCTCCAAAAATAGGAGTCCGGAACCAAAATGTGGTTCTTTTGGACTCAAACTACACAAATAGGTGTAAAAAAAAAAAAAGTTACCATACTATATAGAACGCCAGAAAACCTGGCGCTATACATTAACGGTAACTGCACCGTTAATGTATAGCGCCAGATTTTCTGACGTTATACAAAAAAAAATCTGACACAGCTGATATAGTGCCACAATCATATGTTCTTCTAGAGCTACGTGCTCTTTCTTTTTCTTTTTGGTAATTATTAGACATATGAAATAACTATGAAATATGTTGTTGTCAATTTATTTGCACTTTGAATATATTGACAACAACATATTTCATAGTTATTTCATATGTCTAATAATTACCAAAAAGAAAAAGAAAGAGCACGTAGCTCTAGAAGAACATATAGCTGTGTCAGATTTTTTTTTGTATAACGCCAGAAAATCTGGCGCTATACATTAAACTTGGCGTTATATATAGTATGGTAACTTTTTTTTTTACACCTATTTGTGTAGTTTGAGTCCAAAAGAACCACATTTTGGTTCCGAACTCCCAAAAATAGTACATTTTTTAAAAATACGATACCTGTATTGAAGAGTTGTGTAACATAGCAAAGAGCTATATGCATCTGAACCGTTGATGGTCCACTTCAATCACTCCATGGACACCACCATTAAATACTTTATCAACTTTCTGAGACAGAGGACAAGATGTAACAGTGTACAATTTGTTTCACAGTATTCCAATGATCAATACACTCCCTCACTGGAGGGTTTTTAATTAAAGGGATGGGAGGTGCTGAGAAAAGGGTCTTGTGACACAATTGAAGTGTGAGCAGAACTACCATTGTTTTGTTAATCAAAGCTAATGTACAAAACTACAAAGACAGATAACAAACTTCTTTCCAAAAATTTCTCTATACTAAAACGGATTTCACCTCAAAGATTTCAGTTTGATTCTGCTTTTTGTACAGTAGTCTTGAACAGGAGTACATATAGCTTGTGATCCATGGAGAAATATATGAAACCACCTACTGAATGTGTGACAAATGAGCCAAAACTGGTCCCTACAATACAGTGCCAAGCTGGTCCATATACCCCATCAAACTCCTGAAAATCAAGAAAACACAATTATACAATATAATTCAACTCATTAAAAGCTCAAATCTCAAAAATGACCAACAATGCATAATGATTACAACTTTTCCCCAAGTGTTTACCTTTTTGAGGGAAAATCCAAGTGATTTAGAGGAGAACTTTTCCAAGCTATCATGAGCTTTTCTTGCAAAATCCACAGCATGAATCTGCATAAAAGGTGGCATATCCACAGACACAACTTTCACACCACTGCAAGAAAAGAAATTAGCTAACTCAGTCTGTGAACAGCTGAATGACTTCCTCCTTCCACCGTTCATTGACAAAGAAAAAGATGGCCTATTGGTAATTTTATCACCCCCTTGTTGAAACCCCTTCAACTGGTCACTATCTTGGCTCTTGGATAACAAAGCTAATGCCCTTTTAACATCCACCTCTTTCTTTTCCTTGTGGGGTATTTTCTTGACTTCAGCTTTTTCATGCAAAACAATTGCTTTGTCAATATCCTTAACAGAGCTATGTTTTTCTCCCTCTGCTACATATCTACTCCCGTGTAAACTCTTTGACTTGGTCAAAGCAGAACATGAGGAATCAAAAACAGAGGAAGTAGCAGCAGCTAGAGTTTTGGCCTGTAAATGAGTGTCAACAGGAGGATGTCTATGCCCCCCAGATGAGCCTTTTGGGGTAGATTTGAGGATCTTGTGATTTGCATAGAGCTTGGAAAAGTGAGTTGAGATGTTTTGGACAGTGGGGGAGGGGAGGGTGGTGGGATCTGGTGGGTGGTGGGGTTTGGAGTTGGTGGTGGAGATGGTGGCGGAGAAAGGGGTAGGTTTAGGTTGCTTTTTGAGGGTGGGATCCATGGGAAACTCAAGTGTTTGGAGGGTCTGCAGCTGCTGAGGTCTTATTTTGCAGATAAAGAGAAATGAAAGGAAAAAGAGGAAAATAGAAAAGGGAGGAGAAAATAGAAATAGTGTAATTTAGTGGGAGGAAATGTTGGAGAATGTGTAGAAAATGTAGGGGTGGGGTACACAAGTTCACTGGATTGGGACCTGTGAGAGTTGAGCTAAGAGATCTGGTTTGGTTTTCCACTAAAGTGCTAAATCGCGCCGCTTGCCGAGAAAAATAAGGCATATTAGGCACATTTGACCCTCGCTGTTTGGGTCCCCCTATTTGGACTATTTCTTTCAAAAATTAAATTACTATATTTATAAACAAAATGTTATGAAACACCATATATTTTCTCCATTTAATAAATTGAGGAAAAGTGGGTAATTGTAGTTTTTTTCTTTCGTCCAACTGTCACTTAGTTGTATGGTGGGAAAACAATCTACATTGATGAGGTAAAGTGGCCACAAATGCATCCAAAAGTTTAGCCTAGCAAATAACGAAGTGAATTGCTCTCTCCGGTTTACAATAAGTGATCAATTTATTTTGGGCACACTCATTAAGGAAATACTAAATTCTAGACGAAAATAATAAGTGTGACCTAACTACCCATCATTAAATATTGCACCATAGTTATAGTAGCACTTACTTCTCTCTCAAATGTGAGGAGTAAATAATTTTTTAGGGATACGTACATAAGGGTAATTTTGAAAAAACAAATTGAATTTTTTTCTTGGTTATATAAATGGACACTTATTTTGAACCAAAATAAAAAAGTAAATTGATTACTTATTGTGCACCGGAGCAAGTAAGTGATTTCTCTTCATTTATGTCTTACTAATACACAAAGTTATCAGGTATCTCGCCGGCGCACTTGAACTGATCCAACCACCCCCATTATTTTGTCTTCCCTTAGTAGCGGTTTGGTCTAAGGGATTAGATGAGTTATCTTGATTGAAATTTTGGGGTTAAATTAAAATTCTGTATATAGTTGGAGGTATTAATTAAAATCGATATTATTTTTACACCTAAATCTTAATATAACTTAATTCATGTAGGATGCAAATAAGTTATTCAAGTTATAATTCCGATTTTAATTCAAGATTATAATCCTGATATATTTCGGTTTTGAACCAAACAAACCCTTAGAATTCACCAAAACGGGGATACCTAAAGTGTTGGGAAGAGAGGGAAGCTCATTTAAGTAAGGGAGTTACATTTAGACGATCTCAGTTATTCCCTCCGTTCCAATTTATGTGAACATGTTTGACTGGTCACGAAGTTTAAGAAAAAATGGAGACTTTTGGAATTTGTGGTCCTAAACAAGTCAAAAAGGGCCCAGAGTATTTGTATGGTTATAAAAGCTTCTCATTAACGATAATTGCAAATTTAAGTTATTGTTTCCAAATTTAGAAAGGGATCATTCTTTTTAGAACGGATCAAAAAAGAAATAGGATCACATAAACAGAAACGAATGGAGTATTAGGTATCACCATTTACGGTCAAACACCTTAATAATGGATGTTTCATTTAATGATCCATCAAAATCATGTATCCGTAGTCTCATTCTATGAAAGCAACAAAACGTGTGTTGTTGGTCAACACAGCCTAACACATCCACAGTCACTCTCCAATATCCATAATACGTTATTTAATTTTGAATGAATGTGGGAGCGTTTCTTTGCTTTGCTTGATACCGCTAGATTGTGAATGTGACGTCCATGTATGTACAATTAATTCACCAATTTTTCCAATCAATTTGAATCTTGTCGTTCTCTACTTCTTGTTGCATTTATAGCAGAGTCCCCCAAATCCAATTATAGTCAAACTTTGATTAACTCCTCCTACACCCTTAGATTTTCTGAGACCATATGGAACAAATTCAGTAATGAAACACTAACCAAAACTCCCAAACTATATTAATAGGGAGTTAGCTCAAAATTACAATTACTGATAATCCAATTGCGACTGAAAAGTAGAAAATTACAATAGAAGTACTGGAAATAGATAACTAGAGAAGGAGATGAAGAACTAGAAGAAAAGAGGGAGAAAACAGAGAACACTCATATTAATATTGGTCTGACCCTTAATGCCCTTTTGCCTGTTGCTTTATACTCTTTTTGCCTAACCAACTTTGTCCTTATTCACGTGACCATCACCTTTCCAAACGTAATCTCCAAGTCTTTTTGGAGGAATAATTCTTCTAAAACTCCTACGTGTCTTATCTATGTGACCATCCTTTGTGGCAGCTTTGTTGGCTTCCAAGTCACCTATTTCAGTCACAACATTACTCCCTCCCTGTAAATCAACCTTGTCCTCAAGGTTGAGGTTGGCCTGCTCTTCAGATGCTGCAGCATCAGTCAGCTGCAAAAGGGTTACCTGCTGGTCCGGAGTTCCAATGCATCGCTTCAACATAGAGACATGAAAAACTGAGTGTATCTTAGCAGCTTCAGACAATTCAAGGCGATATGCAACAGCCCTGATACGCTTTAGCACCTTGTAAGGTCCAAAATATCTCCTACCCAATTTGTGATCGCGTTGTAAACGCAGAGTGGACTGCCTGTACGGCTTCAACTTGACATACACCCAATCTCCTACCTCAAAAGATATGTCACCGCGTGATTTATCAGGTAAAGTTTTCATGCGATTTTGAGCTTTAAACAAATTATTCTTCAGTATTAGCAGCACCTCATCTCGTTGCAGTAAGTAACTTTCCACGAGTTCACTCGCAGTGCTACCCAAAATATATCGAGCAATGGTAGGTGGCTCACGACCATACAAAGCTTGAAAGGGGCTCATACCTGCTGAAGTCTGGTAGGAAGTGTTATACCAGAATTCAGCCCAAGGCAGCATAGTGACCCAGAGAGAAGGTACCTCAGCCACATAGCAACGTAAATATTGTTCCACACATTTGTTAAGGGCTTCCGACTGACCATCTGTTTGGGGATGATAAGCAGTGCTCATGGCCAATGTTGAACCTTGCAATCGATTTATCTCTTGCAAAAAAGAATGGAGGAACCTCGGATCCCGATCAGTCACAATGGTGCGAGGAGGCCCATGGAGCCTGATTATACCTACCACAAAAGCTTCAGCCACTGTATGAGACAAAAAAGTCGAAGGTAGGGGTATGAAGTGGCCGCACTTAGTGAGACGGTCGACCACAGTCATAATAGTGGTCTTCCCTTTGGAACTAGGTAGGCAAGTGATGAAGTCCATATCAATATCTTCAAAGACCTAATCCGGGATAGGCAGGGGTTGCAATAGACCTGCAGGGTGTAGATGCGAATCCTTCATCTGTTGGCATATGTGACACGCAGCGACAAATGTGTGTATATCCTTGCGCATTTGCCTCCAAAAGAAATTAGAAGCCAGATGATGATAAGTGCGCGCTATCCCAGCATGACCACCAATAGATGTAGCATGGAACTCATAGATTAATTTTTGGTGTGGAGCAGCATCTGAGGGAATCACCAGTCGACCCATGTAGAACAGCAGTCCTTCCTTGAACTGGTAGTCGGCATATGCCAAATCTCCTTGGTTTACTGCTTGTTGTCTCGCAATCAATTCAGGGTGGGTTTGATTTAATTGCTTCGGATCTTGTTCAAAGTTAAGAGTTTGGACTGAAAGAGCCATTAAAGCAGCCTCTGAATGGCGACACAAGGCATCAGCTGCAGAGTTCTGTTTTCCAAGCCTGTACAAAATTCGAAAGTCATAGCCGACCAGCTTAGTGAGCCATTTTTGTTGTTCAGGTGTTTGGATTGTTTGAGTGGTCAGGTTCCTTAAAGATTGCTGATCCGTAAGGATGGTAAATTTGCGTCCCAGAAGATATTGTCTCCATTTACTCACTGCTTGAGTAATAGCAAACATTTCTCGGTGGTAAGTTGAAGCGGCCTGCATTCGGGGGCTTAATTTTTGACTGAAGTATGCAATGGGATGACCCGTTAGGAAAGAATAGCACCAATTCCTTGCCCCGATGCATCAGTTTCGACTTGGAACTCTTGGCTAAAATCTGGTAAAGTTAGAACAGGTGTAGATCCCAACTTATCCTTAAGAGTATCAAAGGCTTGTTGTTCCTTCTCTCCCCATCGGAAGGAATCCTTGCGCAACAAATCTGATAAGGGTCCAGCTAATGCAGCATAATGATGAATGAAACGTCTGTAGTAGCCCGCTAGCCCTAAAAAGCTATGAATTTCCTTGATTGAACGGGGTGGAGGCCATTGTTGAATAGCATGAATCTTGGCGGGATCAACAGACAATCCTTAGGGCTTAGATAATGTTCCCCAAATAATCAACAGAAGTTTGCCCAAACAAGCACTTAGAGCGCTTGGCCACTAGATGGTGCTGGCGCAATAAATGTAATACTACAGCTAGGTGTTCCAAGTGAGCAACCCAGGAAGGACTATAAACTAGGATGTCGTCAGAGAATACTAGCACAAAATGATGCAAGTGGGGTCTAAATACCTCATTCATAGTGGCTTGGAACGTTGAGGGAGCATTAGTTAGCCCAAAAGGCATTACCAAAAATTCATAATGTCCATCATGGGTCCGAAAAGTTGTCTTAGCCAGATCCTCGGGCCTGACTCTTATTTGATGGTATCCGGATAATAAATCCAGCTTAGAGAAATAGTGAGTGCCATGTAGTTCGTAAAATAATTTGTCAATGGTTGGAATTGGGAAGCATCACGGACTATAATGGCGTTCAAGGCCCGATAGTCTACACAAAACCTCCATGTCCCATCCTTCTTTCGTACCAGTAGTACTGGAGAAGAGAAAGGGCTTGTGCTAGGTTGTATCAGTCCCTCTCGAAGCATATCTGCAACAAGCTGCTCCATTACCTGCTTTTGAAAATGAGGATATCTATATGGCTTTACATTCACATGTTGAGCCCCGGGTGCAAGATGGATTTGATGGTCCTGGTCACGCGAGGGAGGAAGGCCTGTGGGTCTCTGGAATACATCTTCAAACTTACTCAAAAGAGCAACCAATTCCACAGTTGCTTCCCTTGTATCAGGTACCTCCTCTGTAACCATCTCTAGACTAAAGAACGAAGATATGGCATCAGTGGCGGCCATTCTTCGTAGGCTATGCAACTGAATCACTTGGGTATCCGTCGGACAATCTCCCTGCCAAGTTGTTCGCGACCCATTCAATGTAAACCCGAATTCCCTAGTTGCATAATTTGT